AGAACCCTGGCATAGGGTTTAAGCGCCACCTTCTGATCTTACCTTCTGACCCTGTAAGGTGGGTAAATTACTATGATGACCTGGGAATGGTCCAAAAAACACATGATACCGATATCTCGGTCTAAAACCCAGTTGTGAAGTTAAAAAGTAGTCAATTATAGAAAAAGTTGTATGTGTGGTGGATTAAATAGTAGAGTAATTCTCATTTGGATGCATAATCCTCCAGGCTTCATGGAGACAGAGATCATCACAAATATTATGTATGTTCTCCCGAGTGGAGCAGTGGTCTAAGGCACTGCATCGCAGTGTTTGAGGCGTCACTACAGTTCCGGGTTCGAACCCAGGCTTTGTCACAGCCGGCCGTGACCGGGAGACCCATGAGGCGGTGCACAATTGGCCCAGCGTCGTCCGGGAGGGTTTGGTCTGCCGGGATTTCCTTGTCCCATCGCGCTTTAGCGACTCCTTGTGGCGGGCTGGGCGCCTGCAAGCTGATTTCGGTCGCCAGCTGGACGGTGTTTCCTCCAACACATTGGTGCGGCTGTCTTCCGGGTTAAGCGAGCAGTGTGTCAAGAAGCAGTACGGCTTGGCAGGGTCGTGTTTCGGAGGAAGCATGGCTCTAGACCTTCGCCTTCGCTAGACCACATATACAGGCCCGTCTGAAGTTTGCCAATGAACATCTGAATGATTCAGAGGAGAACTGGGTGAAAGTGTTGTGGTCAGATGAGACCAAAATCGAGCTCTTTGGCATCAACTCAACTCGCCGTGTTTGGAGGAGGAGGAATGCTGCCTATAACCCCAAGAACACCATCCCCACTGTCAAACATGGAGGTGGAAACATTATGCTTTGGGAGTGTTTTTCTGCTAAGGGGACAGGACAACTTCACCGCATCAAAGGGACGATGGACGGCACCATGTACCGTCAAATCTTGGGTGAGAACCTCCTTCCCTCAGCCAGGGCATTGAAAATGGGTCGTGGATGGGTATTCCAGCATGACAATGACCCAAAACACACGGCCAAGGCAACAAAGGAGTGGCTCAAGAAGAAGCACATTAAGGTCCTGGAGTGGCCTAGCCAGTCTCCAGACCTTAATCCCATAGAAAATCTGTGGAGGGAGCTGAAGGTTCGAGTTGCCAAACGTCAGCCTCGAAACCTTAATGACTTGGAGAAGATCTGCAAAGAGGAGTGGGACAAAATCCCTCCTGAGATGTGTGCAAACCTGGTGGCCAACTACAAGAAACGTCTGACCTCTGTGATTGCCAACAAGGGTTTTGCCACCAAGTACTAAGTCATGTTTTGCAGAGGGGTCAAATACTTATTCCCCTCATTTAAAATGCAAATCAATTTATAACATTTTTGACATGCGTTTTACTGGATTTTTTTGTTGTTATTCTGTCTCTCACTGTTCAAATAAACCTACCATTACAATTATAGACTGATCATGTCTTTGTCAGTGGGCAAACGTACAAAATCAGCAGGGGATCAAATACTTTTTTCCCTCACTGTGTGTGTGTGTGTGTGTGTGTATATATATATATATATATATATATATATATATATATATATATATATATATATATATATATAATTATTTTTTTATACTACCAGTCAAAAGTTAGGACACACCTACTCATTCAAGGGTTTTTCTTTATGTTTACTATTTTCTACATTGTAGAATAATAGTGAAGACATCAAAACTATGAAATTACACATACGGAATCATGTAGTAACCCAAAAAGTTATTCAATTAGCCACCCTTTGCCTTGATGACAGTTTTGCACAATCTTGGCATTCTCTCAACCAGCTTCATGATGTAGTCACCTGGAATGCATTTCAATTAACAGGTGTGCCTTAAGTTAATTTGTGGAATTTCTTTCCTTCTTAATGCGTTTGAGCCAATCGGTTGTTTTGTGACAAGGTAGGGATGGTATACAGAAGATAGTCCTATTTGGTAAAATACCAAGAACGGCTCAAATAGCAAATAGAAACGACAGTCCATCATTACTTTAAGACATGAAGGTCAGTCAATACGGAACATTTCAAGAACTTTGAAAGGTTCTTCAAGTGCAGTCGCAAAAACCATCAAACACTATGAGGAGCTGGCTCTCATGAGGACCGCCACAGGAATGGAAGACCCAGAGTTACCTCTGCTGCAGAGGACAAGTTCATTAGAGTTACCAGCCTCAGAAATTGCAGCCCAAACAAATGCTTCACAGAGTTCGTCACAGACACATCTCAACATCAACTGTTCAGAGGGGACTGTGTGAATCAGGCCTTCATGGTCAAATTGCTGCAAAAAAAACCACTACTAAAGGACACCAATAAGAAGAAGAGACCTGCTTGGGCCAAGTAACACAAGCATTAGATCGGTGGAAATGTGTCCTTTGATCTGGAGTCCAAATTGGAGATTTGTGGTTCCAACCGCCGTGTCTTTGTGAGACGCGATGTGGGTGAACGGATGATCTCCACATGTGTATTTCCCACCGTAAATTATGGAGGAGGTGGTGTTATGGTGTGGGGGTGCTTTGCTGGTGACACTGTTGTGGTTTATTTAGAATTCAAGGCACACTTAACCAGCATGGCTACCACAGCATTCTGCAGCGATACGCCATCCCATCTGGTTTGGGCTTAGTCCCACTATCATTTGTTTTTCAACAGGACAATAACCCAACACACCTCCAGGCTGTGTAAGGACTATTTTACCAAGAAGGAGAGTGATGGAGTGCTGCATCAGATGACCTGGCCTCCACAATCCCCCGACCTCAACCCAATTGAGATGGTTTGGGATGAGTCGGATGGCAGAGTGAAGAAAAAGCAGCCAACAAGTGCTCAGCATATGTGGGAACTCCTTCAAACTGTTGGAAAAACATTCCAGGTGAAGCTGGTTGAGAGAATGCCAAGAGTGTGAAAAGCTCATCAAGGCAAAGGGTGGCTATTTGAAGAATCTCAAATATAAAATATATTTTGACTTGTTTAACACTTTTTTTTGGGTTACTACATCATTCCGTATGTGTTATTTCATAGTTTTGATGTCTTCACTATTTCTACAATGTAGAAAATAGTAAAAATAAAGAAAAACCCTTGAATGAGTAGGTGTGTCCAAACTTTTGACGGGTACTGTGTACAGTGCCTTGCAAAAGTATTCAGCCCCCTTGGCGTTTTTCCTATTTTGTTGCATTACAACCTGTAATTTAAATGGATTTTTATTTGAATTTCATGTCATTGGACATACACAAAATAGTGCAAATTGGTGAAGTGAAATGAAAAAAATAACTTGTTTCAAAAAATTCAAAAGAATAAATAACCTAAGAATGTGAAGCCCCTAAATAAGATCTGGTGCAACCAATTACCTTCAGAAGTCACATAATTAGTTAAATAAAGTCCACCTGTATGCAGTCTAAGTGTTCACATGTTCTCAGTATATATACACCAGTTCTGAAGGCCCCAGAGTCTGCAACACCACTAAGCAAGGGGCACCACCAAGCAAGCGGCACCATGAAGACCAAGGAGCTCTCCAAACAGGTCAGGGAATAAGTTGTGGAGAAGTACAGATTATTTAAAAAAATATCAGAAACTTTGAACATCCCACGGAGCACCATTAAATCCATCATTAAAAAATTGAAAGAATATGGCACCACAACAAACCTGCCAAGAGAGGGCCTCCCACCAAAACTCACGGACCAGGCAAGGAGGGCATTAATCAGAGAGGCAACAAAGAAACCAAAGATAATCCTGAAGGAGCTGCAAAGCTCCACAGCGGAGAATGGAGTATCTGTCCATAGGACCACTTTAAGCTTTACGCTACACAGAGCTGGGTTTCACGGAAGAGTGGCCAGAAGAGAAAAAATAAGCAAACACGTTTGGTGTTCGCCAAAAGGCATGTGAGAGACTCCCCAAAACATATGGAAGAAGGTACTCTGGTCAGATGAGACTAAAATTGAGCTTTTTGGTCCTCAAGGAAAACGTTATGTCTGGCGCAAACCCAACACCTCTCCTCACCCTGAGAACACCATCCTCATAGTGAAGCATGGTGTTGGCAGCATCATGCTGTGTGGATGTTTTTCATCGGCAGGGACTGGGAAACTGGTCAGAATTGAAGGAATGATGGGTGGCGCTAAATACAGTGACATTCTAGAGGGAAACCTGTTTCAGTCTTCCAGAGATTTGAGACAGGGACGGAGGTTCACCTTCCAGCAGGACAAGGACCCTAAGCATACTGCTAAAGCAACACTTGAGTGGTTTAAGGGGAAATATTTAAATGTATTGGAATGGCCTAGTCAAAGCCCAGACCTCAATCCAATTGAGAATCTATGGTATGACTTAAAGATTGCTATACACCAGTGGAACCCATCCAACTTGAAGGAGCTGGAGCAGTTTTGCCTTGAAGAATGGGCAAAAATCCCAGTGGCTAGATGGGCCAAGCTTATAGAGACATACTCCAAGAGACTTGCAGCTATAATTGCTGCAACAGGTGGCTCTACAAAGTATTGACTTGTATAGTTATGCACGCTCAAGTTTCCTGTTTTTTTTGGTCTTATTTCTTCTTTGTTTCACAATAAAAACATATTTTGCATCTTCAAAGTGGTAGGCATGTGTTGTAAATCAAATGATACAAACCCCCAAAAAATCCATTTTAATTCCAGGTTGTAAGGCAACAAAATAGGAAAAATGCCAAGGGGGGTGAACACCTTCGCAAGCCACTGTATACCCCAAAAAATATATATGTACCAAAAAATATACTGGGGATTGGAAATGTTGCAGACAATTACATTGATGAAGCTACAATCTATCTGCAATATTAAATATACATTTTTATAAAGCGCTGCCTTAACGAAAAATAGAACCCTAGCTCTTTTTGTTTTTAAGTCTACTGCTGAGAAGCAAACAGACGTGTTATGATGAGGGATTCTAAGTCTTTTTCTTGCTCTGTTTGTTTTTGTCTACTGCAGAGAAGCGAACAGACACCAACGGCAGGGTTTATTTTGTTCACCACACAACGCGGATGACTCAGTGGGAGGACCCACGGACACAAGGGTCAGTTTCACTTCTAAACAAACACAAGGATTGTACTGTTAAGGAAGTCTTGCATGACTGTCGATGCCCTGTAAATAAATGTGTGTCTGTCCCTGCTGTAGGCTGCTGAATGACAAGCCCCTACCTGAAGGCTGGGAGATGAGGTTCACCGTAGACGGCATCCCCTACTTTGTGGACCACAACCGGAGAACCACCACCTACATCGACCCTCGCACGGGCAAATCCTCCCTGTGAGTCTACTAAACCCTCAAGTGTTCACTCATTCACTCCTAGTGATCCTTTTGTTTGCTGGCCGCCTTTCTAATCTCTAGACTCGCTTACTCACTCTCGCACGTATGCGCACACACACACACACACACACACACACACACACACATTGATGCTCACTCACGTGCTAACACACACTCTCATATATTTTAAATACTTAATTTTAATGCACAAATCACATTAGTCGAAGTTCACAGGTGCACTCACCCACCTAATTGACCATTCACTAAGCCAACCCCCATTTTCCCTGGAAGTTCAAATGCCAGTTCAAACCATTGGAGAAAATCCCTCACAATGATCGCAAACTGTGTTTTTAATACACAGTGAAATTAAACACAGACTACCCCTTGCGGATCAGGAGACTCTTGGGAATGTTGTGGTGGACAGCCATTACAATTGCTTCACATGAACCTGGTAAAAAAAAGTTTGTAGTATGGCAAGTCACTGGATGGCTCTGAATGCAGTGTCAGCATGCAGTCAAAGCTACTAGCTAACCCCTTTTGGAGCCAACTAGTGCTCTCACATCATCTCCTGATGTCAATAGCAGATGAAAGTTATATTCATAATAGCTAACTTGGCTAGCTAACATGCATTAGGAGAAAACAAGTTATATTAACTGGATAGCTAGTTAGTGAGCAAAGTTTTCAATGTTGACTCAATGAGCGCTAGCTAACGAGTTAGCAAACAATGCATTTAAGGTTAAATAAAAATACTCCAACAAGCTCTGCATTTCAGGAATCACAGTCGCAAGTACCCCTGGGGTGGCAGGTAGCCTAGCGGTTAAGAGTGTTGGGCTAGTAACTGAAAGGTCGCTGGTTTGAATCCCCGAGCCAGCAAGGTGAAAAAATCTGCCGTTAACCCCCAACAACAACTGCTCCACGGGTGCCAATGACGCGGACGTCGATTAAGGCAGTCCCCCGCTCCTCTCTGATTCAGATTGCCCTCATTGGCTTCCATGCTTTTGAAACGTGAGTTTGTCCGAGTCGTCGTGACTCGAGCTTGGTTAGCAACAGTTGCTATCCACCGGAGCACTGCGGTTGTTTGTCCCAAATTCTGAGGTGGGGTTTAGCGAAGGTTCAATTGCATCACTCAATCCAAAGATGTAAAATGTTGTTCTCCAGTGAGACCCATGAAATAAGCATGTCAGTGTCAACAAGCTCATGCATTTCATCTTTGCTTCCCACAGTGAGAACGGGCCCCAGATCACCTACGTCAGGGACTTCAAAGCTAAAGTGCAGTACTTCAGGTTCTGGTGTCAGGTATGTACCCAACACACCCTGTATCCTAGTTTCAAGTTTTTGTCACCTGCACTAGTACACGTGCACTTGCTTGCTCTTTCCCAACAATGCAGTCAACTAGAACAAAAACACACGAGAAATAAGAACACGAGAAAGTAAGTAAGTTATATACAGGGTCAGTGCCTATACCATATATACAATGTGCAGGGATTCTGGCGTGGTAGGGTTAGATATGTATAGTGGTAAGATGACTAGGCATCAGGATATATGATAATCAGAGTAGCAGTAGCGTATTTGATTTTATGTGAGTGTGTGGGTGTAGAGTCAGTATTAATGTGTGTGTGTGAGTAAATGAAGAGTATGTGAGAGTGAGTGTGTAAAATGTGCATAGGGTGTGTGTGTGTGCATAGAGAAATATGCAAAAATATAAGGGTCAATGCAGAAAGTCCATGTAGCCATTTTGTTAGCTGTTTAGCAGTCTTATGGCTTGGGGATAGAAGCTGTTCAGGAGTCTGTTGGTGTCAGACTTGATGCTCCGGTACCGCTTGGCGTGCGAAAGCAGAGCGAACAGTATGGCTTGGGTCTTTAAGAATGTTCTGGGTCTTCCTTTCACACGGCCTGATATAGAGGTCCTGGATCTTAGGGAGCTCAGCCCCAGGGATGTACAGTGCCCTCGGAAAGTATTCAGACCCCTTGACTTTTCCCACATATTGTTAGGTTACAGCCTTATTCTAAAATATATATTTTTTAAATTCCCCCTCATCAATCTACACACATAACCCGTAATGACAAAGCAAAAACAGGTTTTTCAAAAATTTGCACATTTATTTAAAAAATATAAACTATCACATTTACCTACGTATTCAGACCCTTTAACGCAATACTTTGTTGAAGCACCTTTGGCAGCAATCAAGGACATTCAGAGACTTGTCCTGAAGCCACTCCTGCATTGTCTTGGCTGTGTGCTTAGGGTCATTGTCCTGTTGGAAGGTGAATCTTCCCCCCCAGTCTGAGGTCCTGAGCACTCTGGAGCAGGTTTTCATCAAGGATCTCTCTGTACTTTGCGCAGTTCATCTTTGCTTCGATCCTGACTAGTCTCCCAGTCCCTGCCGCTGAAAAACATCCCCTCCAGATGTGACGCTTGGCATTCAGGCCAAAGAGTTCAATCTCGGTTTCATCAGACCAGAGAATCTTGTTTCTCATGGTCTGAGAGTCTTTAGGTGCCTTTTGGCAAACTCCAAGCGGGCTGTTGTGTGCCTTTTACTGAGGAGTGGCTTCCGTCTGGCCACTCTACCATAAAGGCCTGATTGGTGGAGTGCTGCAGAGATGGTTGTCCTTCTGGAAGGTTGTCCCATCTCCACAGAGGAACTCTGGAGCTCTGTCAGATTGACCATCAGGTTCTTGGTCACCTCCCTGACCAAGGCCCTTCTCCCCTGATTTCTCAGTTTGGCCGGGCGGTCAGCTCTAGGAAGAGTCTTGGTGGTTCCAAACTTCTTCCATTTAAAAATTGAGTCCACTGTGTTCTTGGGGACCTTCAATGCTGCATACATTTTTTGGTACCCTTCCCCAGATCTGTGCCTCGACACAATCCTGTCTCGGAGCTCTACGGACAATTCCTTCGTCTTCATGGCTTGGTCTTTGCTCTGACATGCACTGTCAACTGTGGGACCTTATGTAGACAGGTGTGTGCCTTTCCAAATCATGTCCAATCAATTGAATTTACCACAGGTGGACTCCAAGTTGTAGAAACATCTCAAGGATGATCAATGGAAACAGGATGCACTTGAGGTCAATTTCGAGTCTCATAGCAAAGGGTCTGAATACTAGTATTTTTGTTTATTATATTTGTTAAATTCTTAAAAAATTAGAAGAACCTGTTTTTGCGTGGTCATTATGGGATATTCTGAGTAGATTGCTGAGGAAACGTTTTTATTTAAGACAGGACACTGGATTCAGAGAATTCAAGAGGGGTTTGCCTCTTCATCAACAGCCAATGGTGTGCTGACTCCAGCGCAGTGGGAGTCTCGACCCATTGTTCACCCATCTTGGAATACCTGATGGTGAAATGCAGATCCTTCTATCTCAAGTTGGCACTTAAACTGTATGAGGCTATAAACAAGCAGGAAACCATGCACCTGAAAGCTGCTTTCCTTGTTGTCGGTGATTTTAATTCTGTGTCCTTCGCCACTAGGGGTGATAAAGTGTTATACCACGGTTACCCTACACACAAGCAAACATACGTACAAGAAGTCCCGCTTCGACCTCCGCTGAGCCATCAAACAAGCAAAAGGACAATATAGGAACAAAGTGGAATCCTATTACACAGACTCTGATGCCCAACGCATGTGGCAGGGGCTACAGTCCATTACGGATTACAAAGAAAGACCCAGCTGTGATTTACATTTTAGTCATTTAGCAGACGCTCTTATTCAGAGCGACTTACAGTTAGTGAGTGCATACATTTTCATACTGCCCCCCCTGGCCCCCCGTGGGAATCGAACCAACAACCCTGGCGTTGCAAGTGCCATGCTCTACCAACTGAGCTACACGGGGCCTTGTATGTTTGCTTGTGTGTAGGGTAACCGTGGTATAAGACTTTATCACCCCTAGTGGCGAAGGACACAGAATTAAAATCACCGGCAACAAGGAAAGCAGCTTTCGGGTGCATGGTTTCCTGCTTGTTTATAGCCTCATATAGTTTAAGTGCCAACTTGAGATAGAAGGATCTGCATTTCACCATGATCGGAGATCCATCTTATTATCAAGTGACTGGCCAATTGAATGGAGGGAATAGGTGGCCGGTTTTCCCTTCCCCTTAATCTTGCTCCCCTCTCCTGCCTCTTTTTTGCCAGCGTGTCCTCTTGGATAGCCTGAAAATTGGGTCAGAATTAAACAGAGCCCAGGGCAGATTAGTTTAAATTGAAGCCGGAATTGAGGTTAGTAACTGCCGATCTGATGTTCAAAAGTTATTGTTGATCATAAGAAATCATAGCGGATACATTTCGTGCAAAAAAAGTAAAGATAAACACAAAAAGAATCACAAAATAACAAAGTTTGGTCGAAGCTCACAAGACGGCAGCCGTATAGTACGGCGCCATCTTCAATCACTACTAGATCGTAGTGTGCACTATGTCCTCAGAGCTACCTCTGCCCTTCTAATAAGTGTTGTTTTTGTTTTTAATTTGGACACTCATGAAAACAAGATTCGAGAGATTTTATTCTGCAAAATTTCAAAGATATAAAAATGCAGTGTGTCTTCAATTCTCCCGAAGTATGCACTTACAAGTGACTAAGAAAATGTGACTTAATTGGAAGAATGGTAGAGAATTGGGACCCATAGGTATTATCTTGTTCCTGTGGCCGTAAAATGAGTAATTATCTTTGTCTTCCAGCAACTGTCAATGCCACAGCACATCAAGATCACAGTCACCCGCAAAACCCTCTTTGAGGATTCATTCCAGCAAGTGAGTGTATTAAAAAATAATATTTTATATTACAAATAAATAAAAAATAAAATATTAGACACCACTGCACTGGCTGTTTTTGTAGTCCTGTGAATAAATAAAAAATAACACTAGTTGAAAAGACATCAGTGTAAGAGAAATAGTTTGTAATTTATTTTGAGCAACTTTGAGTACTCTATTTTTGTACCAGTGCCTGTGGTACAGAATAGCGGATGAATACAGAATAGTCCAACGTTGTAACTGTTTCCAATTCTGTGTCCATCAGATGATGAGCTTTCATCCACAAGATCTCAGGCGGAGACTGTGGATCATTTTCCCTGGAGAGGAAGGCTTGGACTACGGAGGGGTGGCAAGGTGAATGACCTATTCTGATAGGTTAAGTATGAACTCATGTTAGAGATCATTGTAAGATTGAATGTTTCAAAAATGCAAATGTCACCTTTTTTTTATGCGTGCGTGTATGGTATGTTCTTATATGGTGTGTGTGTTCTCAGGGAGTGGTTCTTCCTGCTATCCCACGAGGTGCTGAACCCAATGTACTGCCTGTTTGAGTATGCCGGCAAGGACAACTACTGTCTCCAGATCAACCCTGCCTCCTACATCAACCCCGACCACCTCAAGTACTTCAAGTTCATCGGACGCTTCATTGCTATGGTACCTACCTCAATGCTCTCTATGGGGTGAAACTTGACTTCCACTTAGGTCGAATTTCCACACTATTTGGTTGGAATAATACTGTGAAATTATGAAAATTAGGATAATGCCCTTTTAGTGTAAGAGCTGTTTGAAAAGACCTCCTGTTTTGGTGGGATGGAGTTTTGGCCTTCCTGGTGACATCACCAGGCAGTTAATTAGTTAATAGACAATCAAAAAGAGTTCCAAACCTCTCTGCCAATAACAGCTAGTTTTCAGTTTTCCCCTCCCAACTCAGACCACCCCTAGACAGTCCTATAAAAATGTATGCTTGAGAAATTGCTCTTTGCTAAAAAGCTGTTTTTGTTTATTTTTGACAATTTGAAAACAATCACAGTAACGTACTTTATTGTTACCCAGATATGATTTGATATTGAGACAAAAACGGCTGTATTAGGCCTTTTAAGTTTGTTTGGTGCCGAATTAACACAACCCTGAAATAAGCCACACTGTAGTTCCTGATCACATCTAGGGCTGTGGTGGTCATGACATTTTGTCAGCTGGTTATTGTCATGCGAAAGACAGCCTGTCTCACAGTAATTTACCGTTAATTAACATAAACATGTTTAGCATCTCCAAGCCTCCACACATACAAACCGCTGATGTGCGCCTTTGGAACATCTACATTTAAAAATATATAAATAAGCAATTGAATATACACATCACAAAAAATCCATTATTTATTTTAGGCAGGTCTAAAGAAACATTATGATATAAAGAAAATGTATTTCAGATGAACAGAATATGCCTTGACCTACTGTATGTTATCTGGCTATGCGCCATGCCATAGGCTGTAGGCTTGTTCATTTAGCAGACAAGATATGCTTAAGTCCCGTGTCATTGTTTTATATATGATTCTATAGTAAGAAGAATCTAATTGAACTTAGCTGAATAAAAAAGAAAGGATATTTTTCCCATTCCGGAGCGAGTAAATAAAATGAAGTGGCTATGTTGAGCGTAAAAGTGATAATTGGAAACAGGTCATATACGCTAGATTTAGAGTTATTTGGCAACTTTAGTTGTGAATGATACAAACCTTAGAATGTCTTAGAAATCAAAACATATATGGGCTGCATGATGCGACTATACTGCCCTACCAAGCAAAAAGGCAGTAACTGCTCATTTGGTCGAAAATTAGGTAATGTCATTTTTGCTACATTAAATACATGCTTAATCATGTGGACAAGTATCCTGCTTCATATTGTCCCCTGTAGCTCAGTTGGTAGAGCATGGCGCTTGCAACGCCAGGGTTGTGGGTTCGTTTCCCACGGGGGGCCAGTATGAAAATGTATGCACTAACTGTAAGTCGCTCTGGATAAGAGCGTCTGGTAAATGTTAATGTTATATTGTGTTTTGGTGAAAATGGGGGTCATATTAGCAGTAACTGCAAAAAGTTACTGTGAAACCAAGTTAAATGGCAGTAACTGAACTTACTGCCTTGTAGCTTGGTTTTAACCTGCCCTTGGCTGCAGTTACTGCCTTTTACCTTGGTATCATATCATTTTATTCTGATAGTGATACAATCAAACCTGTATGACACTGACTGACAGCTACACACACATACATTGCTAATCTAGGGACACAACATCATGGCACAGCATTCCCGGGGGGAAATGATGGTTGAACTTGCTCTGAAACGCTGACACCCAGACACTGGTAAGAACTAGCTAGCTAAGTAGATCTGAGAACATAATTAATTAGCTAGATAGCTAGCTAGCTAACTAGCTGGCGAGCATAGACTAACAATGCTACCGGCTCCCATAAGAGGAGATCTGCAATTGATACTAACTTCAATCTATAAGCCCTACAATGAATTATATTCTGAAATTTCATCTGATGCTTTCTTTGAGTCAGTACATTCCATTGGTTATTTGAATCAGTAACGTTACACCACACACACAATCTTTAGCCAGCTAACAGTCAGACGTGCACCCTATACTGAATTGTCAAAAGCCACGCACCCTCGTTTTCCGGTTGAGCACACACACAGCATTGCTACCTCATTAAAAATCTATATATTACAAGATAGGTAATAATTTAATGTAATTCAAACAATTGCAGTGCTGCTTTTCACTTTTATTCTTATAACAAGACCTGGTCTACTTGTAAAACACAGTATGTATGAAAAAAAAACTAACATATGCACTCACTAACTGTAAGTCGCTCTGGACAAGAGCGTCTGCTAAATGACTAAAATGTCAAAAAATTTAAAATGTAATGTGACTGACGCAGAACCTACATTATCATGTAAATGCAACTGGTATCTTAGTGGAAGACACACAAAGGATGCAGTTTCAACTCTGTTACACTGTCTGTAATTATACGCTCTTTTATTAATAGCATAAATGTGAAGTATAGTAAACTAACAAATGAAAATGGCAGATACTGCTCTTTGCGTTGGTATTACCCTGCAATTTGTAACATATCATGCCAAGGAAGAAGGCAGTAACTGCCGTTTAAGGGTCAAAGGTCATGTCAGAGGTCAGGTTCAACATTAATGAAAAATTAACTCAACAGATCACTACATCTCCAATGATCTCCCTAGAATTCATTTGGCTGGACAATTAAAAAAGCCATTTTTCTCAGTTCCACGCTATGAGCAGTTACTGCCTTTTTGCTTGGTAGTGCAGTATAGGCTATTGATGATTTGAAAAAGTTGCAAAAGCTTGCACTCTGTTCCTTGCCTCAGGCTGCACACGCTGTTCTCTCATCAAGTGATCATATTTTCACCCCTTAGACTATTCTCAATTTAATCTTGTCTTTACTAATATGTAAAATTAGTAAAGATTTAAGAATGGCCCGTTATCAAATGGTGAGGAACAGTGGTCAAGACAAAAAAGACGTCATCTGTATGCACTGGAATAGCGAATGGAGGCCACTTTCCACCGGTATGTTTCTCACTCATGTAGGCTACTCCGGTTATTTCGATGCGCAACAGATGATATTCCACCCAAACTCTGTATGCCATGGGCTCTCCAACCCTCTTCCTGCAGATACCCAGTGCTTAATTTGGGAAACCAAGTGAAATCTGTTCGGGAAAAATGAAAGTAACATGTTTTCACAATGAAACATATTTCATTAAACTGTTAACAGCCCCTCTCTCTGCGCACTGGAGAAAAAAATTAAGGAGAGATGGGAGGAGATGGAAACTCACGGGGGTGAGATATTCTGTAGCAAAAGGTAATGTGTCAGCCTATTAATTATGAAAATACCCTATTTTAGGCTATTCAAATCAATACAATTCATTATTGTAGGCTGATAAAGATCTGAAATCGTATTTTATTTTTTTATTTCCATGTGACACATTGAAGCTATGTATTGTATAAGGCCATCAATTTAAGGGGGGGGGGGGGGGGGGGTTTTGGGCTCATACTGTATCGGAAAGTATTCAGACCCATTGACTTTTTTCCACAGTTTGGTATTTACAGCCTTATGCTAAAATGATTATGATTTGTTTTGCACGGTTCGATCAATCGACAGACAATACCCATAATGACAAAGCGAAAACAGGGTTTTTAGAAATATTAAATAAAATTTTTAAAAAAAAATTATGAGACCTCGAATTGAGCCTCAGGTCCATCGCTGTTTCCCTTCGAGATGTTTTCTAACAACTTGATTGGAGTCCACCTGTGGTAAATTCAATTGATTGGAAAGGCACACACCTGTCTATATAAGATCCTACTGTTGACAGTGCATGTCAGAGCAAAAACCAAGCCATGAGGTCGAAGGAATTGTCCGTAGAGGTCCGAGACAGGATTGTGTCGAGGCACAGATCTGGGGAAGGGTTCCAATTCTTTTTTTTGCGGCATTGAAGGTTCCCAAGAACACAGAGGCTTCCATCATTCTTAAATGTAAGAAGTTTGGAACCTCCAAGACTCTTCCTAGAGCTGGCCGCATGGCCAAACTGGGCAATCGGGGGAGAAGGGCCTTGGTCAGGGAGGTGACCAAGAACCCGATGGTCACTCAGACAGAGCTCTAGATTTCCTCTGTGGAAATGGGTGAATCTTCCAGAAGGACAACCATCTCTGCTGCACTCTACCAATCAGGCCTTTATGGTAGAGTGGCCAGACGGAAGCCACTCCTCAGTAAAAGGCACATGACAGCCCGCTTGGAGTTTGCCAAATGGCACCTAAAGAACTCTGACCATGAGAAACAAAATTTGGCCTGAATGCCAAGCGTCACGTCTGGAGGAAACCTGGCACCATCCCTACGGTGAAGCATGGTGGTGGCAGCATCATGCTGTGGAGATGTTTTTCAGCGGCAGGGACTGGGAGACTAGTCAGGATCTAGGGAAAGATGAACGGAGCAAAGTACTGAGAGATCCTTGATGAAAACCTGCTCCAGAGCGCTCAGGACCTCAGACTGGAGCGAAGGTACACCTTCCAACAGGACAATGACCCTAAGCACACAGCCAAGACAACGCATGAGTGGCTTCGGGACAAGTCTCTGAATGTCTTTGAGTGGCCCAGCCAGAAACCGGACTTGAACCTGATCTAAAATCTCTGGAGAGACCTGAAAATAGCTTTGCAGCGACGCTCCCCAGCCAACCTGACAGTGCTTGAGAGGATCTGCAGAGAAGAATGGGAGAAACTTCCCAAATACAGGTGTGCCAAGCTTGTAGCGTCTTACCCAATAATACTCAACGCTGTAATCTCTGCCAAAGGTGCTTCAAGAAAGTACTGAGTAAAGGGTCTGAATACTTATGTAAATGTAATATTTCAGTTTTTAATGTAATACATTTGCAAAAAATTCTAAAAATAGTTTTGTGCTTCGTCATTATGGGGTATTGTGTGTAGATTGATGAGGGGAAAATAACAATTTAATCAATTTTAGAATAAGACTGTATCGTAAGAAAATGTGGAAAAAGCCAAGGGCTCTGAATACTTTCTGTATACTGTGTTATAGGCCTGTGCATAAGCTCTAATATGCATATGGGTGTTTTGAATTAATTATCACCTTAGAAAGCGCTGTCCATTTCGTTGTGTTAGGCTTTGAAACAACATCCACAACAAACATGTTTTCTACTCTGTTTCAACCTGTTGTTGAACTTCTTTCTTCGAATTGATCAGTCACAGTGAGGTGAGTTTTAAAACAACGTACTGTTTTGATTGTAAATGTTTGATGTGATTTTCGATTGCATTTGCATTCATGTCATAGTGGTTAGAGGGACAATAGAGCCCTGAGTACCAGGCCATTAGCGACCTGATAGTGCCGAAGGAGATGGCTGCCGTTTTACGGGCTCCTAAACAATTGTGCTATTGTTTTTTTTCAGTGTATTTGTAACTTATTTTGTACATAATGTTTCTGCCACCGTCTCTTATGAGCGAAAATAGTTTCTGGATATCAGGACAACGATTACTCACCTCGTACTGGGCGAAGAGTTTTTCTTTAACGAGTCGGACGCAAAGGTTTTTCTTCAGACACCCGCCAAGGCCCAAATCCCAGTCATTCGCATGAGAAAGAGACAGAGATATCAGGGACGTAGGTCGGGGTGCCTTGTAAGGATCCGAAAGCGAGTGCTTAATCTGCCTCTTACCATCAGTCCTATTAGCCAACGTACAATCATTGGATAACAAAATAGACTAACTAAGATCACGGATGTCCTACCAACGGGACATTAAAAACTGTAATATCTTATGTTTCACCGAGTCATGGCTGAATGACGACATGGATAACATACAGCTGGCGGGATATACGCTGCATCGGCAAGATAGAACAGCTGCCTCCGGTAAGACAAGTGGTGGCGGTCTGTGTATATTTGTAAACAACAGCTGCTGCACGAAATCTAATATTAAGGAAGTCTCGAGGTTTTGCTCGGCTGAGGTAGAGTATTGGATGATAAGCTGTAGACCACACTATTTACCAAGAGAGTTTATCTATATTTTTTGTTGCTGTCTATTTACCACCACAAACCGATGTTGGCACTAAGACCGCACTCAATGAGCTGTATAAGGCCGTAAGCAAAAAGGAAAATGTTCATCCAGAGGCGGCGTTCCTAGTGGTCGGGGACTTTAATGCAGGGAAACTTAAATCCGTTTTACCTAATTTCTACCAGCATGTTAAACTTGCAACCAGAGGGAGAAAAAAAAAACTATTGACCACCTTTACTCCACACACAGAGACGAGTGCAAACCTCTCCCTCGCCCCCCATTTGGCAAATCTGACCATAACTCTATCCTCCTGATTCCTGCTTACAAGCGAAAACTAAAGCAGGAAGCAGTGACTCGGTCAATGAAGAAGTGGTCAGATGACCCAGATGCTAAGCTACAGGACTGTTTTGCTAGCACAGACTGGACTATGTTCCGGGATTCTTCCGTTGGCATTGAGGAGTACACCACGTCGGTCACTGGCTTCGTCAATATGTGCATCAATGACGTTGACCCCACAGTGACCGTACATACGTACCCCAACCAGAACCCATAGATTACAGGCAACATCCGCACTGACCTAAAGGGTAGAGCTGCCGCTTTCAAGGAGCGGGACTTTAACCCGGACGCATATAAGAAATCCCGCTATGCCCTCCGACGAACCATCAAACAGGCAAAGAGTCGGTACAGGACTAAGATTGAATCGTACTACACCGGCTCCGACGCTCGTCGTATGTGGCAGGGCTTGCAAACTATTACAGACTACAAAGGGAAGCACAGCCGCGAGCTGCCCAGTGACACGAGCCTACCAGACAAGCTACAATACTTCTATGCTCACTTCGAGGCAAGCAACACTGAAGCATGCATGAGAGCATCAGCTGTTCCGGACGACTGTGTGAGTAAGACCTTTAAACAGGTCAACATTCACAAGGCCGCAGGGCCAGACGGATTACCAGGACGTGTACTCTAAGCATGCGCTGATCAACTGGCAAGTGTCTTCACTGACATTTTTAACCTGTCCCTGACTGAGTCTGTTATTCCAACATGTTTCAAGCAGACCACCATAGTCCCTGTGCCCAAGCACACTAAGGTAACCTGCCTAAATGACTACCGAGACGTAGCACTCACGTCTGTAGCAATGAAGTGCTTTGAAAGGCTGGTCATGGCTCACATCCATTATCCCAGAAACCCTAGACCCACTCCAATTTGCATACCGCCCCAACAGATCCAGAAATTATGCAATCTCTATTGCACTACACACTGCCCATTCCCACCTGGACAAAAGGAACACCTACGTGAGAATGCTATTCATTGACTACAGCTCAGCGTTCAACCCCATAGTGCCCTCAAAGCTCATCACTAAGCTAAGGACCCTGGGACTAAACACCTCCCTCTGCAACTGGATCCTGGACTTCCTGATGGGCCGCCCCCAGGTGGTAAGGGTAGGTAACAACACATCTGCCACGCTGATCCTCAACACAGGTGCCCCTCAGGGGTGCCTGCTCAGTCCCCTCCTGTACTCCCTTTCACCCATGACTGCATGTCCAGGTACGACTCCAACACCATCAAGTTAGCTGGCGACACAACAGTGGTAGGCTTGATCACTGACAACGAAAAGACAGCCTATAGGGAGGAGGTCAGAGACCTGGCCGTGTGGTGCCAGGACAACAACCTCACCCTCGTGATCAAGACAAAAGAGAGGATGGACTACAGGAAAAAGAAGAGGACTGAGCACGCCCCCATTCTCATCGATGGGGCTGTAGTGGAGCAGGTTGAGAGCTTCAAGTTCCTTGGTGTCCACATCACCATCAAACTATCATGTTCCAAACACACCAAGACAGTCGTGAAGAGGGCACGACAAAGCCTATTCCCCCTCGGGAGACTGAAAAGATTTGGCCTGGGTCCTCTAATCCTCAAAAAGTTCTACAGCTGCACCATCGAGAGCATCCTGACTGGTTGCATTTCTGCCTGGTATGGCAACTGCTCGGCCTCCGACAGCAAGGCACTACAGAGGGTAGTGCGTATGGCCCAGTACATCACTGGGGCCAAGCTTCCTGCCATCCAGGACCTCTATACCAGACGGTGTCAGAGAAGGCCCTAAAAATTGTCAAGGACTCCAGCCACCCTAGTCATAGACTGTTCTCTCTGCTACCGCACGGCAAGAGGTACCAGAGCGCCAAGTCTAGGTCCAAAAGGCTTCTTAACAGCTTCTACCCCCAAGCCATAAGACTCCTGAACAACTAATCAAATGGCTACCTGGACTATTTGCATTGACTCTGTACCGGTACCCCCTGTATATAATCTCGATATTGTTATTTTACTGCTGCTCTTTAATTATGTTTTATTTTATTTTACTTAACACTTATTTTTTCTTAACTACATTGTTGGTTAAGGGCTTGTAAGTAAGCATTTGACTGTAAGGTCTACACCTATTGTATTCGGCGCATGTGACAAATAAAAATTGATTTGATGATCGTTAGCCAGTTGGGAGCTACTAATGCATGTCTGGAGTGCATAAGAGGAGATTACCGTGACTCAACGGTCACATAGAATTTTACTGCCGGTGTGGCGGTAATACGGTCACCGCAACAGCCCTTCACATCCCTGGTTCATTTTGTTTCTCTCCAGGCCTTGTTCCATGGGAAGTTCATCGACACAGGATTCTCCTTGCCCTTCTACAAGCGCATCCTGAACAAACCCCTGGCCCTGAAGGACCTGGAATCCATCGACCCGGAATTCTACAACTCCCTCATCTGGATCAAGTGAGTCCGGGAATGGGGGTTAGAAATGGGAATTAGTGTGAACAGCTTTCCTTATAAACGGGAAACGCTGTTGATTGTTATTGAGTGAGGGTGATGATGACAAGGGTTAGGATGATGATGATAATGATTATAAGGAAGAGGAAAAGTAGAAAATGATGATGATTATAATAATTATAACTATGATGGAGAAGAGGAGGAGCTGATGACTGCCCTCTTGTGATTCCCAACCACCAGGGATAACAACTTGGAGGAGTGTGGCCTGGAGATGTACTTCTCTGTGGACAAGGAGATCCTGGGGGAGGTCACCACTCACGAGCTGAAGCCAGACGGAGGCAACGTCCTGGTCACTGAGGAAAACAAAGAGGAATACATCAGGTAGGATTGCTGTGAAAACCAACTACACAGAACAAAAATATAAATGCAACATGTGAAGTGTTGGACCCATGTTTCATGAGCTGAAATAAAAGGATCCCAGAAATGTTCCATACGCACAAAAAGCTTATTTCTCTCAAATGTTGTGGAAAAATTTGTTTACATCCCTGTTAGTGAGCATTTCTCCTTTGCCAAGATAATCCATCCACCAGACAGGTGTGGCATATCAAGATGCTGATTAAACAGCATGATCATTACACAGGTGCACCTTGTGCTGGGAACAATAAATGGCCACTCTAAAATGTGCAGTTTTGTCACACAACACAATGCCACAGATGTCTCAGGTTTTGAGGGAGCGTGCAATTGGTATGTTGACTGCAGGAATGTCCACCAGAGCTGTTGCCAGAGAAATGAATGTTCATTTATCTACCATAAGCTGCCTCCAATGTAGTTTTGGAGAATTTGGCAGTACGTCCAACCGGCCTCACAACCGCAGACCACGTGTATGGCGTCTTGTGGCTGAGCGGTTTGCTGACGTCAACGTTGTGAACAGAGTGCCCCAATGGTGGTTATGGTATGGGCAGGCATAAGCTACTGACAATAAACACAATTTCATTTCATCCATAACAATTTTAATGCACAGGGATACTGTGACGAGATCCTGAGGCCCATTGTCGTGCCATTCATCCGCTGCCATCACCTCATGTTTCGACATGATAATGAACGTCCCCATGTCGCAAGGTTCTGTACACAATTCCTGGGAGCTGAAAATGTCCCAGTTCTTCAATGGCTTGTATACTAACCAGACATGTCACCCATTGAGCATGTTTGGGATGCTCTGGATCGACGTGTACGGCAGCGTGTTCCAGTTCCCGCCAATATCCAGCAACTTCGCACAGCCATTGAAGAGGAGTGGGACAACATTCCTAAGGCCACAATCAACAGCCTGATCAACTCTATGCAAAGGACATGTTTCGCGTTGCGTGAGGCAAATGGTGGTCACACAAGATACTGACTGGTTTTCTGGTCCACAACCCTATTTTCTTTTTTAAGGTATCTGTGACCAACAGATGCATATCTGTATTCCCATTCATGTGTAATCCATAGATTAGAGTCTAATTTATTTATTTCAATTGACTGATTTCCTTATATGACCTGTAACTCAGTAAAATCTTTGAAATTGTTGCATGTTGCGTTTATATTTTTGTTCAGTGTAGAAATCAGTGTGTGTGTGAACACTTTCTCTATCAGATGTTTTTTCCAACAGAAGAAAGCTCATTTTCATACACATTATTGTACGTCTTCCTTTGTGTCCTTCCTTCAGGTTGGTGGCAGAGTGGAGGTTGTCCAGAGGGGTGGAAGAGCAGACCCAGGCTTTCTTCGAGGGCTTTAATGAGGTCCTCCCCCAGCAGTACCTGCAGTACTTTGACGCAAAGGAACTGGAGGTACACAATGGGTTCATTCATAGACTGATCTAATAAGTTTCTGTAATGAACAAATGTGACATGAAAACCACTCACAGAGCTTTTTGCTTACTCAATCTTTTTTAGACAATCTTCAAGGGGAGTCTCCAAATAGTGAGGCCTCCTTTTAATCTAACCGTATGACTGTTAAACAGAATGTGGCATGAGACCTACCTTCAGTATTTAAACTTTTCCCTCCCTCTTGCACTGAAGTATCGAGTGCCTCTGCCCTAGACTGTTGATTCTCGGGGTCAATTTGGAAACCAGCATTGGTCAATCACCACAATAGCGGGTTATAAAACGAAATTCTCCCAAAGTGATATCCGGTCCCCTCACCAGGTGTTGCTGTGTGGCATGCAGGAGATAGACCTGGTGGACTGGGTTCAAAACTCACGCTTCCAGAGTGCACAGCTCTTCCCCATTGAGTGTGGTGTAATGTAATATCTGGTCCCCCCCACCAGGTGATGCTGTGTGGCATGCAGGAGATAGACCTGGTGGACTGGCAGAGGAACACCATCTACAGGCACTACGCACGCAGTAGCAAACAGATCCTCTGGTTCTGGCAGGTCAGCATGGCTCTACCGTTTTAATGAAGCAGTTAATTAATTCATGAATTATGGAATATCGTGAAGGGGTGTTTGGCATATTTTTACGCATAAATGTTCTGACGTGAAAATGTTTATTCCAGTTTGTGAAGGAGATGGACAATGAGAAACGTATGAGGCTGCTGCAGTTTGTCACTGGCACCTGTCGGCTCCCCATGGGTGGCTTCGCTGACCTCATGGGTACGTTGGAGAATAAATAATACATGTATTTGAAAAAGTTAGAGAACAGGCTGGCTAACCCCTGTCCCTGTTATCCCAATATAAGATATGTTTTGTTATATTCATTCAACTAACCCACACCTAAAGGGATTGTTTATGGATACTGAGCAAGTCATCCATGGAAAAATATGTTTGGAGGATTTTTATTTGGATAAATAAAGACATTGAGACAGAAGGGGAGACATAGAGGTAACTGCCAAAATATAGGAAACACCAAGTGTCCCCTACCAGAACAGCTTTAATGTGACTTGGCATTGATTCTCTGGAACTCTTATTGAAGGGATGAGATGCCATTCTTCCTCGAGAAATTCCATCATTAAAAAAAAAAATGTGGGGGTAGATCAGCTTTAATATTGCAGATAGATTGTAACTTCCATCAATGTAATTGTCTGCATCACTTCCAATTCCCCATATATTTTTTTTCCCCTAGCATATATATATATATATATATATATATATATATATATATATATATATATATATACACACATACATACATACACACATACATACATACATACATACATACATACATACATACATACATACACATACACATCCTTTAAAAAAATATATTTCCCTTTATTATCTTCCAACCCCACCACCCCTTCCCTAATTGGAGTAAACTAGTGAACAACATTTGTTGATGGTGGTGGAAAACGCGGTCTCAGGCGCCGCTCCAGAATCTCCCATAAGTGTTCAATTGGGGTTGAGATCTGGTGACTGAGACACACAAACAACCTTTCAACCCCCTATGCTCCCTTGAGACCCATCTTTCAAAGTCACAGATCTCTTCTTCTAGTCACATTAGCCAAAATAATGGGCAACTGGGCATTTGTATACATGACCCTAAGCATGATGGGATGATAATTGCTTGATTAACTCAGGAACCACACCTGTGTGGAAACACCTGCTTTCAATATACTTTGTATCCCTCATTTACTCAAGTGTTTCCTTAATTTTGACAGTTACCTGAAGATGGAAATTGACAAACAAGTATAGACCTCTAGACCAGGCCCAATTACAGACATTGAGGATTTTTATGTTACTTGTGTGGATGAGAAGTGAGGAGAGTTGAATCGTGTAATTTATTTGTTACTTTTTTAGGGAGTAATGGCCCACAGAAGTTCTGCATCGAGAAGGTGGGCAAAGAAAACTGGCTTCCAAGAAGTCACACTTGGTAAGTTCATTCATGGCGTTACTCACCGGTAGTTTCTCAGCACTTTCACTGTCTGAATATCAAAATCTAATTCCTGGCCTATCTAAAGGGATTGTGCCAGTTCGCCTCTCTGAACTCAATCTGCATTAAACGTTGCCCTTCCGCACAAGACTTCTTTGTCGTTTTCAGTTCAACCATAGACAACCTTTCCTCTCTTTTTCAAATAATTTTATCAAATATCTAATACATTTCATGCCACTTTTATCAAAAGCAACTCTGTACAGTGAGAACATAAATGTTTACTATGTGTCTGTGATCCCCGTGGGATTGAACCCCCCCGATCTTTGTGTTTCTAGTACCATGCTCTTACCAACAGACACACGGGACCTAATTTCTCAAGTCTGTATCATTTATGTGTCTATTTACAATGTAACTGTCTCATTCTGTATTCCTTTTGTGTTTGTAAAGCTTTAATCGACTGGACCTGCCCCCCTACAAGAGCTACGAGCAGCTGAAGGAAAAGCTGATGTTTGCCATTGAGGAAACTGAGGGCTTCGGACAGGAGTAGTAACATGGGGAAGCCAAAATGGTCGCCACGAGGAGCCGTTTTCCACGCGACGTTATGCTCTCCAGCAACAGCACTTTTCCCCCAGGTCCTGGCTCTCTTGCTAAGGGCAGACACTGATAGACACACTCCTTTTTGCAGTCCCGAGCCCCATTATAGACACAACCCCTACACCTGAGGTGGAGTCAGTCTGTCTCCATGGTGATGACACTTCATACTAAACTGTGTGACCCTGTTGCAGCTTGCCTTATTCAGCCCACGTGTCCAGGAAGAGAGGAGGAGGAAGTGAGAGGGAGAGGAGGAATAGGGAGAGGGAGGGAGGAAGAGGGGATGTTCCCTCCCCAAGTCACTTCTGTCTCTGTCTCATCTCCACACTGCACCACAGTAGTTAATAATCACGGAAGACTATTGACTATGCAGTACAATGTCAGCCGTATCATTTCTTCCCTTCGTCTCCCTGAGCCCTGATTGTTAAGTGTATGAATGGGTGGATGAATTAATGCTAGGATCGAGTGCTGCGGACTCTTCCAAAAAGACATTGACCTCTCGTCGATTTAACATTTAGAGATTGACAGTTTTACTTGATTTAACATGTCGCTTTCCCGAAAGAAATATTGACACTTAAGGCATCTACTTTGCTGCCACACCACCGTGTTGTGGCAGTAAGGTATTTGTGAATGTTGCAAAGATGAAAAGCTATATTTTTTAAGTGCAATAGAATAGTGTTCTAGTCAGATGTTTATGCCCTTAATATAGATAAATCAGACATTAATTATTTACCGCAATCCAAAGTTATTGTTTATGTCAGTTTTTAATCAAGTCTAGGTATTGATTCCAACCCAGAATATGGAGAATGCTTTTTTTATAGCCTGGAATCATTGTAGTATAACAGGGTCTTATTCATTAGGCCTCAAATGGAAGAAAAGTGACAACATTTTGTCTAATAAGAGTGCCCAAGCCATTTTAGATTTCTGTTTGAAACTGTTTGTTTTTGTGCCTACTGTAGACGACCATGGTTTGTTGTGTGATTTGAGGGAACCTTTCTTTCCCAAAAATTCAGGATCAGGACAGTACTGGTTTGAGCTGTATAGGGGTTAAAATGTATACGCTAATAACAGTTTTTTTTTAGTTTTTTTTATGGCAAACCGAATGAGTTACTAATGACGTGGGAATGTCAGCAGCTTGTCAAGAGTTAACATAAGGACAACCGATAGGGAAGAGGACATTTTAGGAGTAAATTTAAGAATGAGATAATTAGGAAATGAACTAAGACAACAGCTTGTGAAAATCACTCCCACTGAAAGGTATAACAATGGCTATTAACTCCATGACTAAAGATCAAACGATTAAGTATTCAAACTAGTTGATTTTAATGAACGCTCAGCATGTATAACTTTACATGAATATACAGTATGATGCAGTTAACTTTTTCAAATTGCGTACTTACTAAGTAGAACTAAGTATGAATGAACCCGAATATATAGTCATGTTCCAGGCCCATAGCCCTAAGAAATATACTGTATATTATGTTAAGTGACTAAGAGGATAAGAATTACAATAACAAATAGTAGTTAACATGTAATTAACTCAACACCAATGCGGCCCTAGTTTTATAGGGTTCAGTTTTGTCATTCTAGATATTATATATAGCCAAATGATGTTGGCTATATTCTAAAACCGCTGCAGTGAGCGTAGCAAAACGACTGTGAATCAAAAATAAAATCTGAACCATGTCCATGCAAAACCCCAAATGGTCAGCACTGTGTTTTGAGGGAAAATATGTTTGGAAATAGGCAACATTGTATCTTAAAAATGTATAGACACCAAACAGACAAGCCCAGAGTCAAGTCAAGATAAGTGCTAAGCTTAGTTTCAGACAGACCGATAGGAGGGGGGAGGAAGAGGAAAGGCTTGCCAGAAAACAAATGGGTTGTGTTCGGCAGCACATGGAAGAAAATTGACAAACCGGGAGGGACTACCTGGACTTGTCCTCATTCTTGGTTGTCATTGCAAAATGTTGCTAAACTTTTTCTGTCGCGTGACCTGATGAACACCAGCCTGTTGATTGGCATTGAATGAGATCTGCCACTTCTGACCTTTTTGTGTCCTCTGCTTCTCAGGCATATCTACAGTGGGGCAAAAAAGTATTTAGTCAGCCACCAATTGTGCAAGTTCTCCCACTTAAAAAGATGAGAGAGGCCTGTAATTTTCATCATAGGTACACGTCAACTATGACAGACAAATTGAGAAAAAAAAATCCAGAAAATCCCATTGTAGGATTTTTAATGAATTTATTTGCAAATTATGGTGGAAAATAAGTATTTGGTCACCTACAAACAAGCAAGATTTCTGGCTCTCACAGACCTGTAACTTCTTCTTTAAGAGGCTCCTCTGTCCTCCACTCGTTACCTGTATTAATGGCACCTGTTTGAACTTGTTATCAGTATAAAAGACACCTGTCCACAACCTCAAACAGTCACACTCCAAACTTCACAATGGCCAAGACCAAAGAGCTGTCAAAGGACATCAAAAACAAAATTGTAGACCTGCACCAGGCTGGGAAGACTGAATCTGCAACAGGTAAGCAGCTTGGTTTGAAGAAATCAACTGTGGGAGCAATTATTAGGAAATGGAAGACATACAAGACCACTGATAATCTCCCTCGATCTGGGGCTCCATGCAAGATCTCACCCCGTGGGGTCAAAATGATCACAAGAACGGTGAGCAAAAATCCCAGAACCACACGGGGGGACCTAGTGAATGACCTGCTGAGAGCTGGGACCAAAGTAACAAAGCCAACCATCAGTAACACACTACGCCGCCAGGGACTCAAATCCTGCAGTGCGAGACGTGTCCCCCTGCTTAAGCCAGTACATGTCCAGGCCCGTCTGAAGTGCATTTGGATGATCCAGAAGATGATTGGGAGAATGTCATATGGTCAGATGAAACCAAAATATAACTTTTTGGTAAAAACTCAACTCGTCATGTTTGGAGGACAAAGAATGCTGAGTTGCATCCAAAGAACACCATACCTACTGTGAAGCATGGGGTTGGAAACATCATGCTTTGGGGATGTTTTTCTGCAAAGGGACCAGGACGACTGATCCGTGTAAAGGAAAGAATGAATGGGGCCATGTATCGTGAGATTTTGAGTGAAACAATCCTTCCATCAGCAAGGGCATTGAAGATGAAACGTGGCTGGGTCTTTCAGCATGACAATGATCCCAAACACACCGCCCGGGCAACGAAGGAGTGGCTTCGTAAGAAGCATTTCAAGGTCCTGGAGTGGCCTAGCCAGTCTCCAGATCTCAACCCCATAGAAAATATTTGGAGGGAGTTGAAAGTCTGTGTTGCCCAGCGACAGCCCCAAAACATCACTGCTCTAGAGGAAATCTGCATGGAGGAATGGGCCAAAATAACCAGCAACAGTGTGTGAAAACCTTGTGAAGACTTACAGAAAACGTTTGACCCTGTGTCCATTGCCAACAAAGGGTATACAACAAAGTATTGAGAAACTTTTGTTATTGACCAAATACTTATTTTCCACCATCATATGCCAATAAATTCATTAAAAATCCTACAATGTGATTTTCTGGATTTTTTTTCCTATTTTTGTCTGTCATAGTTGACGTGTACCTATGATGAAAATTACAGGCCTCTCTCATCTTTTTAAGTGGGAGAACTTGCACAATTGGTGGCTGACTAAATACTTTTTTTCCCCACTGTATATAAGGCCTCTTGGTAGGATTTCTTCACAGGAACAGTGGCAGTGTAATAAAGTTAGGTGAAATATAGCTTTCATTCATGAAATGTTTAGGTCACAGATGTGTATTTGCAGTCAAATCAAACATGCAAGTGACATGCATAACCTTGTCCTGAGTGTGTTATTTGAATGCACTGGACACCAACTTACATATTTGGCAAAAATATTATATGTTAATGCCAGGCTGTCTTCGCTATGAGCATCTGGGTCATGTTCAGTAGTTTGAAAACATTTTGAAACGGATGGACTCCTTGAACTTGTCCAATAAGAAAACTCATTTTTTGTTTCAAAATGTTTTAAAATCGCCATGTATTGTATGGCTGGGCTCTGTCTCTGTCTTGGCTCTGAAACAGTTTTATATAACTGGGCGAATTGTCAGGGTGATTCTTTCCATTTCTTCACTTCATACTCATGACTTCTTTGCCACATGCACCGATTCTGGCTCACCACTTTGTAAAGATTGCTGTTATACAAATCATAATTTGTGAATTAAATGTAGAAAACAATGGAATATTTAACAAATAACAAGCGATAGCACCTTACTCGGCTGATTAACCACTTTTTTTATTGCCATGTTCCCAGATCATAGAGGAATAACATTTATAGAAATATGCAGGTGTTAACTACTACTTTAACTTCTAATGATGATTGGATTGTAAATCATGTTGATAGTGTATTCACTGTATTTTTCTTTGTAAAAGCTCTGACCTTTTAATAAAAGGGAGTTTATGGTTGGATACTATTTATTTTTTCTTATGTGAATGTGAAGAGGAAGGATCTTTGATGTTGAAAATGTCTAAATTCATTTAGAAAATTCTGAAATAAAACATTGGTCTACTGGAACGTCAATCTTTTATATATTTGTAACCTTTTTATTTAGTTTAATCAACTTGATATCCTACTTGATTGTATGTTTGTACTCATTTCAAAGCTTTTTTCTTGAGAGAACTGAATGAATTATGATTTGTGAAGAGTTTTGTGGTGGGTGGCTGAACCTTTATGCAGATTCATTGTCCCGTGACGGTGAATATTTGTGCTGCACTCAATCATGTCTTGGTCCTTGCTATCTGGAATCCTTGGAACGTCCCAACCATATTTTATACAGTGACTTTTATTGGTAAAAAATTCTAGCGACAAATTCCTCTACTTTTCAGGCTGCCTTTGGTGTGTTTTGACAGCATTTAGCAACTTTTCCCACTTAATTCTGCCGCAAACGACTTTGCAGACCAGCTGGCTGGAA